CCCTCAGCTCCCATAGTGCTGACTACTGAGTCCCTCTCTCAGAATTATCCTTGGCCCTCTCGCTCTCCTGGAGAGTGAGCAGCACACATACAAGGACTGGTCCACGCAGGGCTGTAACAGCTGACCTCACTTCTGGACAATTCCCTGAAATGGCAATGATCTTTCCCTTTAACATCTGTTTCCCTCTCTCCTCATGGATACGTTTTCTGAGCATTCTCCCCAGCAAACTTTCACATCTTCTCAGAGCTGGCTTATAGAGGCCCCACATAAGAAAGCTTCACCATCTAGACAGGCTGTGTGGTTCACACTGCTCACACTTAGAAATAACCTAATGTTTCAAGCAGGCACTGACTGAGTGAAAATCAGATCTACACCAGGCACGGGTCATGGAGGAGCCCACTGCAGAATACCTTGGGGCCTGCAGCGATGTTTCTCTCAGCAGAGATTTATAGCCTGGGGTGTGTGCCTCCCCCCAGAAGAGAAATATTTAAAAACCTTCAAAAAGGCAGAAGCCATCTAATCAGCCACGTAAATTATAAAATAGGTTTCAGTTCTATTCAGTTTATGACAATGTAAGTACTAGGAACTTGTTATGAAGAGAGAACACTAGCATAAAGAATTTATTTTTAAAAACACTGAATGAGCAAACTCCCCCTGGGGAAGAAAAATGCATGACAGGTGGAGGAGGGTATTTTTCATGACAGGAAAATACAGAACTGTTCCCTGTAGCAGGAATCTGTGCGCTGGACTTGCACATGGCTCTGATTCAGGCAATTTCTTTCCTACTGATGGTGCTCACAAACCCCGTCCTCCTTCTCCCATCGCAGTGGCCTCTCATAGCACTTACACTGGGACTTAGAAGGTCCTGCTGGTTCTCAGATCTAACTCATCTCCTATTCAGTAGTGAGAAGAGAGGCTGAGAAATTTGAGGCTACCATATATGTGTGGAACAGGGGATGGATAACTTCTCTGTTCTCTCTTTTTTTTGGAGAGGTTTTAGCTATAGGGCGCGTGCGCTCGCCAGACAGACAGAGAGAGAGAGAGAGAGAGAGAGAGAGAAAGCGAGAAATCACGCCCCAGGGGGATGGCCATGCCGCAATCCCTTCTCCATTCTCCTCTTGGGATCTTGGGCACGCACGCACACGCACTCAGCGTGAGTTTTAAGCCACCGGGTCTGGGATGCGAACCGTGGTCGACTACATGGGAGCCTAGCGACATAGCCATTATGCTAACTGCTGGTCCCTCTCTGTTCTCTTTCTCAAAATTATGACTCACCATCTCATGGCTTTACTAATTAGCTGACTTATCCAGTCTCCAAATACGTGACATCATAGCCTTGGAACCCACAGGAACTGCATCAAGTTGGACAGGTACCCACAGTATTCTGAGAGGTCTTCTCTGTCCACCCTGCAACTCCTTCCCTTGGTCTTTAAACCTGGCCACAAGAATGAGCACTGCAAGGCTTTAGGTGGGCCACATGTCCCTGGAGGTCCTGAGAAGCCCTCCTTCCTCAGGGTTGGCTCAGACAGGTCCTTCTTGGGCAAACTTCCCTTGGATCCCAACAGAACCAGGCTGGCATTTGGCCCATGAGACACCCCCAACCTCTTCCCTTCCTTGTGGAATGTACTGGCAGCCTCTGTGGGCATCTGCACCTCATCTCTGCAGACTGCATGCTCCCAATGCCAGGACATTTTCATTTGCTCCCGGTGTCTCATAGAGGGGCATGGTGCCCAGAAGGGGTCTCTGGCACCTGCTGATGAGTAAAACAAGGCACAGAAGATGGAGATACACAGGTTGTGGAGCTGACCTGGGTCAGGGTGGGGGGGGACACTGAGGAGGCTGACTTGGGGAGGACTAGCCAGGAGGCCTCTGAGGGAGGAAAAAAGTGCCAAGAGGGCTGCTATGGTTTAAATGTGCCCCCCTAAAATTTATGTGTTGAGATTTGCTTCCTATCGTGACAGTATTAAAAGGAAACCTATTCTTTTGGAGAGGTTTTTGCTATAGGGCGTGTGTGCTTACCAGAGAAACAGAGAGACAGAAAGTGAGAAATTACCCCTGAGGGGGGATGGCCATGCTGTAATCCCTCCTCCATTCTCCTCTCGGGATCTTAGGCACATGCACCTGGTGTGAGTTTAAGCCACTGGGTCCAGGACTTGAACCGTGGTCAACTATATGGGAGTCCAGTGACATAGCCATTATGCCAACTGCTGATCCCTAAAAGGAAACTTATACTGATTGTGGGATTAAGAGGTAAGGTCTTAGGGAGGTGACTGGGGTGATGACTGACTCCTGGTAACCTTGTACAGAGATAGAGACCAGGACACAGACACATAGAGGCAGAGCTCAAGTTCCATCTTTCCATGCGTCACACTGTGCCACACTGGGACTCTGTGGGAAGCCCCCCAACAATGGAGACCCTAACTAGACACAGTACCTTGACCTTGGCGTGTGTGCTTACCAGAGAAACAGAGAGACAGAAAGTGAGAAATTACCCCTGAGGGGGGATGGCCATGCTGTAATCCCTCCTCCATTCTCCTCTCGGGATCTTAGGCACATGCACCTGGTGTGAGTTTAAGCCACTGGGTCCAGGACTTGAACCGTGGTCAACTATATGGGAGTCCAGTGACATAGCCATTATGCCAACTGCTGATCCCTAAAAGGAAACTTATACTGATTGTGGGATTAAGAGGTAAGGTCTTAGGGAGGTGACTGGGGTGATGACTGACTCCTGGTAACCTTGTACAGAGATAGAGACCAGGACACAGACACATAGAGGCAGAGCTCAAGTTCCATCTTTCCATGCGTCACACTGTGCCACACTGGGACTCTGTGGGAAGCCCCCCAACAATGGAGACCCTAACTAGACACAGTACCTTGACCTTGGACCTTCAAAATTGTGCCCTAAATAAACTCCTGGTCTTTATAAACTACCCAGACTTGGGTATTTCTGTTACAGGCAATAGCATGGACTAGAACGAGGACTGTGAGCCTTCAGCTGAGGGTAGCAAGAGAACTGGCCAGAGAGGCCAATGAGGGAAGGCAGCTCTGGTCACTGACTGACAGCAGGGGCTATGAGAGGGACAGTCCTGGGAACTGAGAAGGTGGTTCTGAATCTCTTGCCCTGCCCCTGTCTGCAGGCACTTGGGGGCACAAATTCCAGGAGCCCTGTAGCTCCTGAGAGCTGTGCTCATCCCTGTGAGTTGGCTGTGGGGTCCAGGGTGGATACTGGGCTCCCCTGCCTGCATCTGCCCATCCCTACCACCACAATGACCTTTATCTAGGGATGTTGTTACCATCCCACTCACCCTCATGAGCCTCACCACCAGCCTTTTAGGTACCTGGCACCTGCCCTTCTTCCTGCCCTCTTGGCTGGCTGGTCATGTGTTCTGAGTCTCTGCACCTCTTGTCCCCTCATACGCTTTGTTTAGTGAGCAAAGGAGTCAGCAGGGAATGGGAAGACCAAGACTTGGGGCCTGGGAAGACCAAGGGAGAGGGATATAAGGAGACATGAAACCAGGGCCCAGGGTCTGAGGGTGGATTGTTTTTGTGAACTGTATGACAGAAGGGGTGAGGGGTGCTGGGAAAGAGACAGGTGTCAGGGCACCAGTAGCCTAAAGGAAGAAGGAAGGGCCCATTCCAGGTTGGGGGCAAATGGGCCAAGGTCAGGTCCTGAAGAGCACAGGGCAGAGGATGATCTCAGCAAGGCTGGAGACAAAGCTTCATGCTCGGTGTGGACATGGAGGATGGGAGGGGAGGACTTTGAAGCAGCAGCTAAGAGGGTGTGGACAGAGCCAACAGTAGTGAAGCCAAGGTTTCCAGACAGGAGTTGGAGAGCTAAACCAAGACCCTCATGGCCAATCTGATGGTGTGTTTGCATTTTTTCCATCCCTCAGAAATCACTGCTGAGGTTTATACAAATGCTTTGATGTAAAAACAGATGCTCCAATCAGTTGGCCTACACACACACACACAGCAGTGTGTTCACAAACAGCACCAGCCAGGGAAATGAGACAGTACCAGGACTCCATGGGGTTAAAGCACACAACTGGTTCAAAACTTTAAAACATATTTTAGGTACCATTTATAATGCTACAGAATAGCATTTTAAGTGCTCATCATGGCTCTCAAAGAAGTACAACTTATAGGAGAGCACATACACCTGCTGGTACATACTGAAAATCCACCCCGCCCACGTAATCTCAGCCAGAGAGAAGCAGATGGGGGCAGAATGTTCTGCTTCTGTTTGACTTGTTCTTATGGAAGCTTCCAGAATATTGGTATTGATGTTAGCTTTTCTCAAGTGTTAGAAACACACCTTCCAAAATGTAGTCTCTGGCTGACAAATCCATCTGGTACAAAGGCCCAATTGGTGGGGTCCCAGGTGCTTCCCAAAAGGAGAAGGACTGTGAGAATCTGAGGCGCCATCTGAAAGTGAGAGTGTGGTGAGATGTTAACAAGATCTGGGAGTTAGCCAATGAGGTTGGTGCCACTCAGAGAAGTGTCTATGCCTTTGCCTTCTCTGCTACTCCAAAACCCTTTGGAGAATCATGGAGAGTGTCCGGCTTCTCCCTACCCTGTGCACAAGGGTTTCCTCCAGCTAAGTCTCACTAGGGGTCTTCCCTTCCAAATTTGAAGGGCAGGGGCCCCAAATATGGGGAGAAGCAAGGAGCAAGGGTCTCTGGCCTTTCCCTGACTTGGGGCAGGGGGGTGCTGCTCTGTGACTCTATTTAAAAGGAAGTTATCCAGGTTGAGTGGGAGGTATATTCTCTAGCTCCCAGCTGGACTTCTCCTCCTCCCAGTTTAAAGGAAGTGCCCATGACAGCCCACCCTAAGAAGAGAGATAATGGCAGTGCTAGGCAAGGCCACACTACTCATTCTGGACTGAGCCCAGGCCCCTACCTGCTCTCAGCCACTATGTCTGGGTAGGCTGAGCAGGTAGTACTGAGTCATACTCACAGGCTGAAAACCACGAGGTTCAGCTATTGGCTTACCAGAAATATGAGCTGGGACAGGGGTCTCTGGAGAGACGTTGCTTCGACGGAGAGGCTGTTTCTCTCTGGGTCCCCTCACAGAGGTGGGGTGAGAGGACTGAAGGGTCAGGTGGCAGGAAGGTATGAGGGAGGGAGCCTGGGGAGGCAAGAAAGGAAGTAGGTTGAGGGGCTAGGCTCATTTGTTTCCACATACAGGCAAACTTCTGTTGTCTGTACTACTTGTATCAGGGTGTATGGGATACTCCATCATCCTATACTCTTAGTCCAGGAGTCCTGGCTGGTGTTCAGGGCACCAGGAAGGCAAGTAGGACAGGTAACTCCCTCTGTTCCCTCAGAGCCCAGAGGAATTGAGACGGCTGCCTAGTGGTCACCCAGTGCTGAGCTCTGGGATCTCAGAGCTCAGTTTGCACTGTACCCTCTCTAGCCAGGGCCCCTTCATTTGCAAGTTTCTGAATTTTCTAAGCCAGGAGGATGTTGCCAGCTGAGAAGTAAAGCACTGGCCATCCTCATGAACTTTACTCCATTCGTAGGGTTCAGGAGCCACTCATTGGGCATCAAGTAAAAAAGCCTGGGTTTCTCAAGACCAGCTCTGGGTCATTACTTTTGTTTGATATGAAGTCTACTCCACATCCTCAGGGATGTTAACTTTCTGATATTTCATAACATATACCTGCCTCCTCCACCATGCAGGGTCAGCCTTGGAAGGTCACTCTGAGCCCTTGACCTGCCCCTCACTCCTGGGTAGATGCCTCATCCTCTTCTGAGGGAGAGGTTATGGCTTCTTCTGGGCTCTCAAGGCTCTTGTGGGGACTGTGGTCAAACTGGGTGTGTCTCAGGATCTCCTGGGTACCTTCTAGAAGGTCCAGCAGACACTTGATCCTCACTGTACTTGTGGAATGAGCTAGAAGAACCATAACAAGTCCCTGTAACCACTGTGAGTGACCACTTGAGAGCTTAGTCAGATGCATAAGTACTGACTAATGGCCAGTCCTGGAGCCTCAAGCCTATGGCTCTCTTTGGCCCTCCATGTTGTAAAGGACAATACTCCACTTGTCCATAGAGGACAATGTCCACTGGAGGCTACAGAATGTGCACTCAGAAGCTAAACTTTTTTTTTTGACCAATGAGGACATGATGAATTCTCCTCCATGACCAATCCCACAAGCCTATGTGATGGACCTCATGTGCCAGGCTCTTGTATTGGGAGCAAAAGCCACATCTAAAGGGAGTCAGGAAGCAAAGACATCACAGTAGCTTCACAGGACTCAAGTTTCATGTAAATATTTACCACAAGGCAGACACTCCAGAAGATCCTATACTACATATAAAAGTGAGGGTTTACCTCCTAGTGGTCTTCTTTTGATGACCTGCTCTGAAAGCCCCTGAACTAAGGGACTTCACAGAGCATTTAGGAGACTGGGCTGAAGGCAGGAGGCACAAACCTATCCTTGGCTTTGGATGGGATGACTGATTCTCCTTCCTTCCCATATGACACCCCTTTGCACATTGCCTATTCAGAATAGGGTCCAGAACCCCCTCCCCTCCCCTGCTGCATCCATATCCTACTCCATCTCCCACCCACCGCCCCCATGCCTTAGACCTTGCTGTCACTCTGAGGCACTGCATCCATGGGTAGAGTCACCTGATTTATGTCTGTCCGTCCTGAGAGCTCAGGCTTGGGCCTGTTCTGCCCAGTAAAGTCCTTAGGTAATGGGACAGACTCTATTATTGCTAAAGGACAGCCTCCCACCTTGCACTGCTGTGTGTGTGCAGGAAATGAACAGAGGACATTGGCCACCTTGAATGACCACCATAGTCACAGACCAGGTTGCTCCCTCCAGTCCCTTCCTACTCCTCAGAGCTTCTGCCCTGTGGGGGTTAAAGAAGGAAAGGACTGAGCTATGTCCTATGGGCTGAGGCATGAAGTCAAGAGAGAGATGGGGACCTGCCTAGCCAAGGCCTTATAACAAGTCAGTAGGAGAGTTGATCTGACCACATCTCCACTGACCACCCACTCACACCCAGGCCAGAGCAGTTGTCCACCCGCCAGGAGACCCAGGAAGTCAGAGAACACAAGCACTTCCAACATATGTGCTACCAGTGACCCCATGGGTAGCGCATACACGTGCGTAGGGAGAGGATGCCCCACCTACACCTGGCTGGGTGGAGGCTGCTCTTCTTTCTGACCATCGCAGATGTGAGCACCAGATGCCTTTCCCTGTGAAGTGGTATTTCTCCTGCTGGAGTGCTCAGTGGCAGCATGCCTGTGGTGTCTGCCCTTGCCCTGCTGTCTCTGCACTGATGTCACTGTTCAGACAATTAAAGTGGCCACTGGACATGCAGTATCCATGAGGACTGGCTGCTTGCCATGTCCGTTACCCAGCTATGGCCCCGCCTGAAAAGGCAGAAGGTCAAGCACAAGCCCAGACGTTCAGTTCTTGGCTGGCTCAAATAAAACCCGAAAGACAAATTTATGCATGTCTGAAAAAGGGCTCCTCAGCTCTTCACCTCGGGGAATCCAGCCTTCAGCCGCCACCCAGCTGTCTTGTCTAATCAGTAGCCTGTCACTACAGAGAGAATGGATTTTACATGCCTACTGCCCCGGGCACCACTGTCAAATGGGAACACATATTTTACATGTCAACATGTAGAATTATACATATTCTTAATTGGACACTTCAAAAAAACGCTCTTTCCATAGTGATTTAAGAATGGGACAAATTCCATCTTTATCCTAGACATGAATCTGAGTGTGCTCAAAAATACCATTTCCTGTTTCTAAAAGATTAAAATCCTGTTTCTCAAAGCCCTTCTTCATCCCACTGCCTCGAAGTGACAAATGGCAACTCTGAGTAAACCTATCTATTTTCCAATGCACTGTAAATGGTGGGGTAAATAGTGTTTGATTTTTAACCTGCCTGCAAAAAGCTTGCTTAAGAAAAAATTCCCCATGATGCATCTAATGTAAAATCTACATGGACTGTTTTAAATGAAAAGTCTAGAAAGCAGTCAAGAGGTTTAGCAGGAACAGATCAATATTAACCTGAAGCTTGAAGGAGTTTCTCCTCCCATGCTGCATGCCACCTTCTTGGTGTGGCCCCCACACTGGCATCTGAGTGCAGAGTGATGTTGGGTTAACAGAATGCCATGTGAGGAGTTGGCCAGCATGTAGAGGCTAATTCACAACCTCACACCCTAGTCACAGCCCAGCCCACCACAAACCATTCCCCTTTCTTGCCATTTGACTTTTAGAAGCATATTTTGGTGGAATGATTCTGTTGATAATTTTTTTGGGGGGGAAGGCAGGGTAGGGGATGGTCCCCAGTCACACCCACATTTAGTTGCCTGCCTCCCCCTTTCACCTGAGAAAGGTGATGTTCAAAAGCACTAGCTAGACTGTTCCACCTGTACTTGAGGTCTTACATCTGTGGGTAAGAGTTGCACAATTTGTACTCAGGGTTCAGACTCAGGTCATAGGGAGCAGGAATTGGTTATGACCATTTTCCTCACCCAGAGCCTCGAATACTGTGACACTCACCTTTGGTTCTGTCCCTCTGAGGCAGTGACCCAGCAAGGAGAGACTAGATCCAGGACCAGCCCAAGGACAGCTGTACTAGCAGAGACAGGTCAACTGCACTGTATAGTCACAGTAGCTTCTAGAGGGGAAGAGGCATAGGGGCCCACCCATATCAGACCATCCAGGACTGTGAGTGGCCATTCAGCTTGCCTCCATAACTGGCTGCCTCTCCTTCCAGGTGCCCATGGTCCTGTAGTCTCCACTTGGCCCCAGGGATTTCAGGTCTGACCAGCTGCCAGTAGCAAAGGTGAGTGACTACCTCAGCCACCCAGAGTGAGAGGCTGACTGGGTGCAGGATTAGGATGGTGAGCATCAATCAAATGAATGGACAAGACGGCCATGGAAGACGAAAGTAGAGATTATTTCAATTCAGCCACAAGTCAAGGAACACCTGGGCACACTAGGAGCTGAACAAGGCAAAAAAACCTGATCTTCCCCTAGGGTCTATGGAGGGAGCAGGGCTCATCTGACACTTTGAGCTAGGTTTTTTGGGCTCTGGAACTGTGAGAGAATGAATTTCTTTGTTTCAAACCACAGTTTTGTGGCAATTTGTTATGGTAGCCACAGGAAACCAATGCACCTCTGTAGTCTGCCCATGTTCCTCAAAGAGACCCAGATGGAGGACAATATCTGCCTCCTTGTGCAAGTTGTACCCCTGCCCAATACACACATGTGTGGTAAACTCCCATGATGCCCCAACATCACCACACACCCATTAGGAGCCAGTTGTTGGAAGTGTCATGCTATCCCCAATGATCTTTGAGCGCATGGAATCTGGCCATGCTCTCAGGACAGTTCTCTTTGAAGAGGTTGTGTTTGCATATGGAAAGGACCCTGAAGATCTCTGGGTTTGCTTTGGTGGACAACCAGTGTGTGAACAGCCTTCACCTGCTGCAGGGCCACAGGAGGCTTGAGTTTGAGGAGAGACAGGCAGAGGCTGGGGTCATGAGAGTATGGGCCATCTTGGCTTGCCACAGAAGGAGTCAGCCTTTCAGGGGAGGGGCTAATTCACAGCCTTGGCACCCCTGGCCTTCACTGTCTGCTAGAGAGTCTCAAGATGTCAGGGGCAACTCTTCCCTGATGGGACAGTCTATGGCTGAGGCAGGAGCTTCTCTGCTTCCCTCAAGCTGACTCTGCAAAACCAAGACATTTATGACATTTTATAGCCCCTTGAGAGAGAGGGTTGGCATGAGATATGCATTTCCTGAGTCAAGCTCTTCACAGAGAGATTGCACTGTGGCCTCCATCCCAACGCTGGCTTTCTTTGGGCGCCTGTGATAAGGAGGCTGGATCTCGATCATGTTTCTATTAAGCATCATTCCAGCTACATGTACCTTCCCCACTGTTTGTGGTATCTAATGAGATCCATCTCAGTTTGCTGGTTTTTCACATCTGCCCCAAATTTCATATTTCCCTCTGGAGGAGGGGCTGTTGTGGTTTTCTTACCAATGTGACTAAAGATTTTTAAAAACTACCCACTGCCTGTGAAGATCAAGGGTTTTGATCATCCTGGCTTTAGACGCAAACTCGTTCCCGTACTCTTCATTCCAGGAAGCATT